TCTCCTCCAGGCTCCTTTCTCACTCCTCCAGGCTCCTTTCCCTTTTCTCCAGGCTCCTTTTCCTTTCCTCTAGGTTCTTTTCCCTCTTCAAGTTCCTTTCCCTCTCCAGGTTCCTTTTCCTCTCCTCCAGGCTCCTTTCCCCCTTCTCCAGGCTCCATTCCCACTCCTCCACGGTCCTTCCCCTCTCCAGGTTCCTTTTCCTTCTCCTCCAGGCTCCTTTCCCTCTCCAGGTTCCTTTCCCCCTCCTCTATGGTCCTTTCCCTCTCCAGGTTCCCTTCCCTCTCCTCCAGACTCCTTTCCCTCTCCTCCAGACTCCTTTCCCTCTCCAGGCTCCTTTTCCTCTCCTCCAGGCTCCTTTCTCACTCCTCCAGGTTCCTTTCTCACTCCTCCAGGTTCCTTTCCCTCTTTCCTAGGTTCCTTTCCCCCTTCTCCGGCTTCCCTCTCCTCCAGGCTCCTTCCTTTCCCTCCAGGCTCCTTTTCCCTCTCCTCCAGGCTCCTTTTTGCTCTCCTCCAGGCTGGGGGAAAAAAAAATCCCACCACACAAAAAAACCCCCCCCTTATTATCCCTGAAGGGCACGGGGAGGGTTTATCCAGAGCCACGAGAGAGGCAAGAAAACAAAAGGGACGCTCAATTAAAAAAAAAAAAAAAAAAAAAAAAAAAAAAAAAAAAAAAAAAAAAAAAAAAAAAAAAAAAAAAAAAAAAAAAAAAAAAAAAAAAAAAAAAAAAAAAACACAACAAAAAAACCACCAAAACCAACAACCAGAGAAGAGTTTATCCTTAATCGCCTCTTAAGCTCCGACATTCCCGAAAGGACAGGGCGCCAACGACTCCCTTAATGCGCCTTTTGATGGAGAGCCCGAATTAGCTCCAATAAAAAGGGATAATAAAGGCGGCTCTTTCCCCCTCCGAATCGCAGCCCCTCCCGGCTGCCGAGGCCGGGCCATTATCGAGGGGCAGCAGCTTCTCCTGATTTCAATTAACCTTCTTCTCGCCCCGGCCCGGCCGCACAAACAACCCAATCCCCCCCGCCCCGCGTCCCTTCGCGGCCGCTCCACGATCCCAAACTCCGCGCGTGGCTCGCTGGGGGGGGCACTTCGGGAGCTCCATCGGGGAGGAAAAATCGCTGATTCCTCGCCGAGCTCCCTCAAGGGGGAAAAGCTGTTGGAGCAGATCCCCAAACCGGCTCGCTCGTGGTTCCTGGGATCTCTCTGCCGCTGCTGGAGGAATCCAGGGCTCTGATCCCAACTGGAGAACCCCCTGCCCTGCAATCCCCTGTGCGGCAAAATTCCCGAACTGCCAGTTTTCCCTCCCCCCCAGGCTCCTTTCCCTCTCCAGGCTCCTCTCCCTCTCCACCAGAGTCCTTTTCCCCCAGACTCCTTTCCCTCTTCTCCAGCTTTCCCCTCCTTCCAGACTCTCTTCCCTCTCCTCCAGGCTCCTTTCCTTCTCCTCCAGGTTCCTTTCCCTCTCTCCCAGGCTCCTTTCCCTCTCCTCCAGGCTTTCTTCCCTCTCCTCCAGGCTCTTTTCCCTTTTCCAGACCTCTTTTAGAACCATAGGGTGGGGAGGGACTGGGATGGACTTCCCAGAGAAGCTGTGGCTGCCCCATCCCTGGAAGTGTCCCAGGCCAGGTTGGAGCAACCTGGGACAGTGGGAGGTGTCCCTGCCCATGGCAGGGGGTTGGAATTCCATGATTTTTACGGTCCCTTCCACCCCAAACCACTCCATGGCTCCGTCCCGATCCAGGACCACGAACATCTTGGGCAGCAATCCACAAACCCTCCCTCCTCCGTGAGGGAGAACCTTCCCAACAACCTCCCCCTCATCCCTTGGAATGTCATCCAGACCTTGTCCTTGGACACCTTGTGGGAAAAGGGGCAGGTCCCATCCGTCTTCTTGCACGTGCCACGGAGAAACCTGGAATGACACCGGATGGAGAGGGCTGGGCACGAGGTGGGTCCCAAACCACAAGGTTTTGAACACACCAGACACCCGTCATCGAGACCCATTTCATGGCCAAAACTGGGGAAGGTTCCTCCTGTTAGAAGAGCAGCTGCTGATTCCTGATGGATTTGGTTCTTTCATCCTATTTGGCAAAGCCTGTACCCCAAAATTCAGGGATGACGCTCCCAGAAGGAGGAAAGGTCCTTCCAAGAGCTCTGATTACTCCAGGGTGGAATCACCACCCCTGGAGCGTTCAAGGTGAGTTTGGATCAAGCTTGGAGCAACCTGGGAGAGTGGAAAGCGTCCCTGCCCGTGGCAAGGGGGGGTTGGAATTCCACGATCTTGAAGGCTCCTTCCAACCCAACCCTTTCCATGACTCCGGGTGGGAATGGCCAAAACCCTGGAGGAGCAGAGGCAGGCACGGGACAGAACCCAAGATCCCAAAGCACGGGAGGATGTCTGGAGCCAGAAGTTTTCCCAGGAGCTGCCACTGTGACAGGAGATTCACAAAATTAAAGGGATGATAATGGAAAGTTAAATATTGGGATTGGGGCTGAAGGAGGAGGAGACACAACCGGTGTTTTCCTCCAGCGATCCACGGAAAAGGGGTGGGATGGAGATCCCAAAAGCCCTCAAGGAGCAGCAATTCCTAAAGCAGGCAAGGAGCTGTGGGGGGTGTGTTGGGGGAGAGTGAGTGAGAAGGAGTGAAATCTGTTAAACCTTCCCACCATAAATCACCTTTCCCTGCTCCTCCGTGATCTCCCACCGAGCCCGGCGCGGCTTCCAAGCGATCCCGGCACAGCAGCAATTTTATGGAGAAATTACTCCGGGAGTTCATCAGCGGATTTGGCTTTTCTGCGCTTTTTAAACGACTAATAATGGAGTTTAATCAACTCCTGGGCAGGTCTAACGAGCTGGCAACGGGAGTCCGTTCTCCTGGAATTAATCATCCGCTCTCGGAGCCGCGCGACGTCACCGGATGAGGGAATCGAGCCCGGTGTGTGGATCCCAGTGGATCTGGGAAGTGCTGCCGTGGGAATCACCCCCTGTGTGCTCAGGGAAGGGTCTCCAGTTCCCTCAGCTCAGAAGAGAAGGATCCAGGGAGAACTTGGAGCCCCTTCCAGGGCCTAAAGGGGCTCCAGGAGAGCTGCACAGGAATCTGGGACAAGGGATGGAGGGACAGGACACAGGGAAGGGCTTCCCGTGGCCAGAGGGTTAGAGGGGATATTAGGAAGGAATTCTTCCCTGGGAGGGTGGGAAGGAGCTGGGATGGAATTCCCAGAGAAGCTGTGGCTGCCCCTGGATCCCTGGCAGTGTCCAAGGCCAGGTTGGAGCCACCTGGGACAGTGGGAGATGTCCCTGCCCACGGCAGGGGGTGGGAATTCCATGACCCTCAAAATTCCCTTCCAACCCAAGCCGTGCAGTTATTTCCAGGATATTTTGTTCCCAGGTGCTGGGATGGAGTTCCCACAGAAGCCGTGGCTGTGGCTGGAGGGACAGGACACAGGGAATGGCTTTCCACTGCCAGAGGGTTAGACGGGATATTGGGAAGGAATTCTTTCCTGGGAGGGTGGAGAGAGGCTGGAATTCCCAGAGAAGCCGTGGCTGCCTCATCCCTGGCAGTGTCCAAGGCCAGGCTGGAGCAACCTGGGACAGTGTGAGGTGTCCCTGGGATGATGGGATGACCTTCCAAAACCCTTTCCGACCCCCAACCATTCCATGATCCTCTTCCTGCAGCTCCCTCCCAACCCTCATCCAGCCCAACGACACCCATCCCTGTGGTCCCTGCCGTCACCCCCTTTTCCCTTTGGAACATCCCACCAGCAAGCCCCAAACCCAAACAGCCCCCCAGCGGCTTCCACATCCATCCCTCACCTGGTGCAGACGGCGACTTTGTCGGGATCGTGGATGTAGGGGCAGCTCTGGCCGCGGTTGCACCTCCCGAAGCGGTTGTAGTACATGCAATATTCCTTCTTCTTCTTCCTCTGCCTGGCCTGGCGGATGATGGCCAAGCTCCTCTGCACGGCACGGCTGGGGGACAGACACAGGAGATGCTCAGGGGGCATCTCCAACCCCCCAGCCCCAAATTCACCTCGGAATGGGAGATGTTTGGGGAAGTTCAGGCTCGCGAGCTCTTGGGTATCTTTGATTTTCAGCCAAATTTACCCCCCCCAAAATCACGAAAAATCTCCCAAGGTGACTCCGGTGAAATCATTCCCCATCTCCACATCCTCTGATTTTATGAGTTCCTGACATTTTTGTGGGGAATGTGGTGAGGAAGAAACATCAGGAATGTCCTTTTCCACGCTGGGCTCATGTTGAACAACTGGGAGCATCCCACCAGCTGCTCTGATGCTGTTCCTGACGTGGAGAAGGCACCTCAGCACCCCTGAGGGCCCCGAAATTCCCTCTGGAGACTGAGACATTGGGAAGTTCAGGCTCACGAGCTCTTAAGGATTTTTGATTTTTGGCCAATTTTAACCCCCGATCATTAAGAATTTCCACGATATTCCAACTGGAAGGATCCTTATCCAGGAGAGCTGGAGAGGGACTGGGGGACAAGGGATGGGGGGAGAGGACACAGGGAATGGCTTCCCAGGGTTAGATGGGATATTGGGAAGGAATTCCTGGCTGGGAGGGTGGGGAAAGGCTGGGATGGAATTCCCAGAGAAGCTGTGGCTGCCCCATCCCTGGAAGTGTTCCCTGGTTGCCTGAGGTGCTCCCAAGGCTCAGGCAAGGCCAGGCAGGACGTGGAATGATGACATGGAATATTTCTTTGCTGGAATTACAATTTCCCCGTCGCTGACGCCTTTTTTGGGATCCCTGAGCGGCTCCCCAGGATTTTTGACCTGCACAGGGAACATTCCCAAGCTGGATTTTGGTACTAATTAACCAATTAGGGATGTGCTTTCAAGGTGCCAGGTGGCAAAATTCCCAGCTGGGAATTCGGTGGGATGGAGGGAAGGAAAACCTGCGGGTTTGAAGGGATAAAATGGGACGAGGGAGAAACCTCATCCCAGCTTATCCCTTCCAACCTGCAGGTTTTCTTGAGGACGACAGGGTCAATCTTAAAAAAGGGGATTTTCCAAGTGGGATTTGCTCCCAGGGAGGGGTAGCTTTCCACTGACAACCTTCCCAACCTTTTCCAAGTGGAATCCTCAGCTTGGAATCCCGGCCTTCCCGTGGCTTTCTGCCCAGTTACAACCACCTGGAAGCAGAAGCCGAGGAAAATCCTCCAAACTCCTGGAGCTCCCAAACAATCCCCCCTCTGAACCCGAATCCAGAGGGGGATTCCCCGGGAATACGGACCTGGCGATGTATCGGCACGAGGAGGATCTGCTGAGGCCGGAGGGAGAGATTCCAGGACTGGGCGTGGAGTGCAACCTCAGAGCTGGAAGCAGAGAAAAACACGGATCACTCCCGGGAATCCGGACGCTTTGCGGGAATTCGCGTGGACCTCGGGATCTGGGATCCACAGAAATGATCGGAGGGAGGGGGTGGGATGGGATGGGATGGGATGGGATGGGATGGGTCTGCTGTGAGGAAAGGCTGGGAGAGCTGGGAATGTTCAGCCTGGAGAAGGGAAGGATCCAGGGAGATCTTGGAGCCACTTCCAGGGCCTGAAGGGACTCCAGGAGAGTTGGAGAGGGAACTGGTACAAGGGATGGAGGGACAGCACACAGGGAATGGCTTCCCAGGGTTAGATGGGATCCAGGTCCAGATCCATCTCCTGCATCCCAGGTTTTTTTCCATAACCCCAAAGCACAGCTCAAGACCTTTTCATATCCCTAATCCCAAAACACATCTCAGAGGGGTCCAGGTCCCTCTCCTACATCCTGGTGGGGTTATTTCCATAATCCCAAAACACAGCTCAGAGGGAGTCCAAGTCCATCTCCTGTATCCCAGGTTTTTTTCCATAATCCCAAAACACAGGTCAATGGGATCCAGATCCAGGTCCATCTCCTGCATCCTGGTTTCTTTTCCATAACCCCAAAGAACAGCTCAAGACTTTTTCATATCCCTAATCCCAAAATACACCTCAGAGGGATCCAAGTCCCTCTCCTACATCCTGGTTTCTTTTCCATAATCCCAAAATGCAGCTCAGGGAGTCCAAGTCCATCTCCTGAATCCTTTTTTCTCCATAACCCCAAAGCACAGTTTAAGACCTTTTCATATCCCTCATCCCAAAACAGACCTCAGGGGGAGTCCAAGTCCATCTCCTGCATCCCAGGTTTTTTTCCATAACCCCAAAACGTGGCTCAAGGGGATCCAGCTCCAGATCCATCTCCTGCATCCCGTTTTTTTTTTTTTTTCCCATAACCCAAAATACACCTCAGGGGGGTCCAAACCCATCTCCTGCATCCAGTTTTTTTTTTTTTTATCCCAAGGCAGGGATCATTCACAGCAATCCCTGGAATCAAGCAGCGTTTGATCCCAGGCAGGTGCTCAGCTCCCCTTCCCAGCCCTCCCACTCGGGAACAACCCGCTGGTTTTCTCCATCCACCACATTCCCTCCTGCTCCTCCTCTTCCCAAAAAAAAACACCTCTGCCCTCTGGAAAGAAAAAAAAAGGCTTCCCTGAGCCACTTCCAGCTCCTCCAACAGTTCCCATGATTCCCGTCGGGATGAACCGAGCGATCCATCTCCCCCCTCCCCGGCCCTTCCTCGGCTTTTCTTGCTGAAGCCAAAGTTTCCCGGGGAAAATTTATTTCCTTAATTATTATTCATTTAAGAGGGTGCCGCGGATTCCGAGGATCAGCACTCGGAGCTGCCGGGGGTGATTTATTTCCCTCACCGGAGACAAACAAGCTCCGGCTCCGGGAAAGGTACTGGGAAAAAGAGGGATGAGCTGCCCGCTGGATTTTTCCCTGTTTTCCTGCCCCCCCCCCCAAGTGTCCCAGGAATGTTCTGGGGTTTTATTAATGAGGAAACCCCAATTAATGAGCTCCAGGATGTTCTGTCAGCAGATGACGGGAAGGAGCCCGGATGGAGGAAGATCCGATCCTGGAAATTCCAGAGTTGAGGGATCGGGGGTCAAAAGGGGGAAGGGATTGAGGAATCCCAAAGCCAAGGGATTGACTGGAGGGGGCCAAAGGGTTGGGATCCAGAGGGATAAGGAAGAGCAATCCCAAAACCATGGGATTGAGTGTGGAAAGGGTCAAGGGATTCCAAAATCCCAAAACCAAGGGATAGAGCAATCCCAAAACCAAGGGATTGAGATTGAAGGGGCCAAGGGATCCCAAAATCCCAAAGACAAGGAGGGGCCATGAAATTGAGCTCAGAAAGGATTGAGGAATCCCAAAACCATGGGATTGAGACTGAAGGGGCCCAGAGATTGATCTTAAAGGGGCCAAGGGACTGAGCAATCCCAAAACCAAGGGATTGAGATTGAAGGGGTCAAGGGATCTCAAAATCCCAAAGACAAGGAGGGGTCATGGAATTGAGCTCAGAAAGGATTGAGGAATCCCAAAACCATGGGATTGAGACTGAAGGGGTCAAGGGATCCCAAAATCCCAAAGACAAGGCATGGAGACTGAGGGAGCAATGGAACTGATCCGGAATGGGATAAGGGGTTGAGCATTCCCAAAACCAAGGGATTGAGACTGAAGGGGCCAAGGGATCCCACAATCCCAAAGACAAGGAGGGGCCATGGAATTGAGCTCAGAAAGGATTGAGGAATCCCAAAACCATGGGATTGACTGTAAAGGGGTTGAGGGATTGAGGGATCCTAAAAACAAGGGATTGAGCTCGAAGGGGCCAAGGGATCCCACAATCCCAAAGACAAGGCCATGAAGGGGTCGTGGAATTGAGCTCAAAAAAGGTAAAGGATTGAGGAATCCCAAAAACAAGGGAGTGACCTCAAAAGGGGCCAAGGGATTGCCACAGGTTGGCCCCAGAGGACTCAAACCTCCACCTGTGGGAGCTCAGCAATCCAAGGCTCCGGATCCAACAGCCAGGGATCCAAACTGGAAACCCCACCCAATTATTCCGCTTGTTTAATTAATTTAATGCTTCCACCCCACCCCTAACGCTCCTGCAAAGGGAAAAAAACAATAAATCCTGGCTGAAATGCCAGTTATCCCGAAGGGAAAGGGCTTTTCCCCTTGTGGGATTCCACTGCTCTGGGATGAGCAGGGAATGTTCAAGCTCTTTTTTTGAGGCTTCTCTGCCCTCGATGGAGCTACAAATGGGGACAAATCCAAGCTCCCCAAGGCAGGATTTTGTATTATTCCCGTCTTCGGCTCGCAGAGCTCCCTGGAAGTCGCAGAGATCCCTTTGGGAGCAGATCCACAGGTGTGACGAGAGCACCGTTCTCAGCAGCTCGGCACACAAATCGCTCCAGGGGAGGGATTTTTATACTCAAAACACTCCTCAAAAATGATTCCTGGAATGACAGTGACACTTCCCTCGTCCCTAAACTGAGTGTCTGCCGCAGTTCTCCACCACTGGCAAAGGAAGTTACAGAAGAGCCACTCCGGCTCTTCCCACTGCTCCAGGAGACCGACGAGATGCTCTGTCGCTCCTGGGAATCCCAGGATCGATCCAGGGGGTGCAGGAAGTGCAATCTCTGGGACCAAATCTTAACTGGCCGCCAGCACCCACCAATAAATTCCTTGAGGGAATGCAGATGGATCAGCCAGGACAACCAGCATCGGCCTTCCTGACCGTGGAGGCAAAACATAAATCCAGGGAAACACAAAACCTGGAGCCCACCGGAACCAAACTCCGAGTTGTTCCTTCTCTCTGCTGCTCTCACCTGCTCTGCTGGGGCTTTTGGTGCCCAGGTCCCTGGTCCTGCCGGGGGTGCTGGAGGTTTTGGAGAGCTTGTTGGCCGACACTCGGTACAGGACGCCGCCGATGCAGCGGAAGCCTTTGCTCCTCCACCGCGGCGCCACCGGCTGGGATTTGCCGCCCTGGGGCGATGGGCGGGTTTGGTTCATCAACAGGGACCTGCAGGAGAAGGAGGAAGTCAAGGGGGAGATCAAATTAGGGAGGGTGTTTCCAAAAAAAGGTGCCACTCTGGGAGCAAACCCTCGGATCGGGTGGTTTGGGTGGGAAGGGACATTCCAAGCCGTCTCATTCCGAGCCCGGTGCCAAGGGCAGGGACACCTTCCACTGCAATGGAGGGGATGTATGGAAAAGCCAGGGAGGAAAAGCTCTGATTCCAAGTGATTTACACCAAAAAAAACCCGACCTTCAAGGAACTCTCTCCCACTCTTGGCTTGCACCTCCAGCCCCTGCAGCAAACAGGGAAACGTGGATCGAATCCCGTGACGGAATCAGCAATGTGGGATCTTCCCTGAGCTTCACCAAGTTTTATGGAGCTCCACAAGCTTTGATATCCCTGGAAGTGGCTCAAAGTCAGGTTGGATGGGACTTTGAGCCACCTGGTCTAGTGGGTGACATCCCTGCCCACGGCAGGGGGTTGGAAGGAGATGGTCTTCAAGGTCCCTTCCAATCCAAGCCATTCCATGATTTCATGATCCTTGCATGGGGTAAGTCACCCAAGACCATTCCCACCTCCATCTATCACCTGCAGGAGATGCTGGGACACAAGTGGGGTTGAGTGGGTGGTGTTGGGAACCTGTTCCCACCTTCCCACTTCTCATTCCATCCCCAAATCCCATAACGAGGCAACGGGATGGCAATGGGTCAGGAGCCACAATCCAGGGCATAAAGGAGCCCAAAATAAATCCATAAGATTATCCTGAAGGATCAGTAAGCTCTGAAGTGATACCTTAGGGATAAATATCATGGAATCATCATGGAAAAGAGCTCCAAGGCCATCGAGTCCACCCTGTGCCCCATCCCCACCCTGTCCCCCAGCCCAGAGCGCCGAGTGCCACCACCAGTCCTTCCTTGGACACCTCCAGGGCTGGGGACTCCAAACCTCCCTGGGCAGCCCCTGCCGACATTTAACAACCCTTTCCATGAAGAAATTCCTGCTGATGTCCCACCTGAACCTCCCCTGTCATCATCTGCCTTGCTAAAGATCCCAGAGGGACAAAAAAAAACCCACCCCAAACCCCACCCATCCACCCACCCACGACCTGACACCCTCCCCACGCCGGAGCCTCCCGGCTTTTCCGTCCCTCCCCCCACCATCCAAACAGCCAAATCCAATCTCCCCCCACCATCAGCCGCCTTCCTCATTTAGTGCTAATCCAAACAGTAATTTGTTTATGCAAATTGGAGCTCTAATTTCGCATTAAGCCCAAACTATGCCCGTAATGCTATTAACGCAACGTCCATAAACGGCGCATTAGCCGGAGAACATCCGTAAATTAAGATCCAACCCCCATTCCTACCAGCGGGATGCAAACCCCGGAGAGCGTCTCCTTGAAGGGGAACCCGTGCTCCCGGAGGAAAGGAGAGCTGGAAAACGGAACGGTGGCGATTCCGGAGGCTCCCCCTGACAGCCCGTTCTTTCCCAAGGGTTGTTGCCAACCGGCAAGCGCTGCCTGGGTGTTTTTTTTTTTTTTTGTGGGAAGGGGATGGGGGCTGGAAAAAGGACAGGCTGATCTCGCTTTCCAGTTTTCCCAGGGGCTTGCTCCTCATGGAATTGCTCCAGGGAGGAGCATCGAGTCTTGGGAATCCACAAAGAGCCCGTGTCGTTGGGTGAAGGCGTCGGTGGCACGAGGGACACTTGGGTCGCCCTTGGACCACCCAGAACCTCAGGAAAAACCTTGGAAAGGCCAAGGTTTCATCCAGCACTGGATGCAGGACCTGGAGAGAGGTCTCGGGTCTTCATCGCGGCCTGATGTGGCCAATAAAAATGATATCGAATGATATCAAATATCCAAGGGCCAGCAGGGTGAGGGAGGGGCTCTCCAGAGATCCCACCTGGATTTCTGCCTCCAACTCTGGGATCCTCAGCACAGGAGAGACCTGGAGCTGCTGGATGAGTCCAGAGGAACCCACGGAGATGCTCCAAGGGCTGGAGAAGCTCTGCTCTGGAGCCAGGCTGGGAAAACTGGGAATGGCCAGCCTGGAGAAGGGAAACTCCAGGGAGAACTTGGAGCCACTTCCAGGGCCTGAAGAGGCTCCAGGAGAGCTGGAGAGGGACTGGGGACAAGGGATGGAGGGACAGGACACAGGGAATGGCTGCCCAGGGTTAGGTGGGATATTGGGAAGGAATTCCTGGCTGGGAGGGTGGGGAGAGGCTGGGCTGGAATTCCCAGAGAAGCTGTGGCTGCCCCTGGATCCCTGGGAGTGTCTAAGGCCAGGTGGGATCCCCCTGGGATGGTGGGAGGTGTCCCTGCCCATGGACAAGCCCATCCATCCACGGGGTCTCCAGGACCAATCCCTTCCAGGAGGCTCTGGAAAATCATCCGATTCCATCTGCACTGCCCGTAAATTATCTCAGGATCGCACACAGAGACAGCAACAATTCACTCCCCAAATTATTGAACAGACACCCCCGGTCCGGGCACTGAAACACAAGATCAATGCGTTCTGTAGAATCATAAATGGAGATTCTTTCATGCATAAATCTATTTATTATTAGCTGAGTTCGCCAGGCCTTGTGTCTATCAATTATCTCCAGATTTTATTGGATGTATTCAATGAATACATATGAATTAATCTTATATATATACATAAAATACATATAGAAAGTATATATATAGAAAGTATATATATAGAAAGTATATATAAATATATAAATAAATAATAAATGTAAATTAAAGAACATATATAGAGATAATAAATATCTATTAAAGTATACTTAAATATCTAAAGTATCTGTAAATATATATAAATAATATGTAAAAGTACATAAAAATATATAAAGTATAA